AAAAAAACCGTTGCAGTCTTGACAGACTCCATGGGTATACGTATTCAGAACGAAGATTTAAGAAATGATCATCACTTCATTAAAATCTGCTCGTACGCTGGAGCCACGATTGCCGGCAACGATGAATTGTCAATAACTGAATATATACAATCACATAATTCGAAACTGTTATTCGAAAAAGTAGAATCAGTTTTAATTGTTGCAGGAACTAATGATTTAGGTAAAAAAACAGTTGAGCAAATGATAACAGATATTGCTCGCCTAGTTATTAGCATCAGATACCACCATCCGAAAGTGCAAAGAGTGTTGACACATGAAATAATGCACAGAACGAAACCAACCGGACAACTACAAACTAAAGAAGAACTTAAAAGCAAGATTACTCGTTATAATGATCAGTTGCAGCGACATGCAGCACAATATGGATATGAAGTAGTTCGGACCGAACTTACTGATGACGATCTGATTGATGGACTTCACTTAAAAGAAACTAGTCTTGTAAAACTTGTTTCCGCCATAAAAGCTTCGTTTCTCCTGTATACAGCTTCACATAATACACAAAGAACTGACGCACCTCCTCAATCAAGTGCAGAAGGAAGTCTTCCTTCTCTACGTTCTTTTTTAGAAAAGAAAGGATATGACCTACGAGAACAACATATAGTTGATTTACTTGATCATAATGAGGAGCTAATAGTGAAAGCACTACCCAATTCTATAAAACAAAGAATTGAAGGAGGAACAACGGTTGACACCACAAAAATTGATAAACATTTGAGTACAACTGTCTCGTATTACTTTTACTCAGTGTTTTTGACAAATTACTATCAGATAGTCTCCAAATATTTAGGATCATATATTTTTAGGATCTAAAATAAAATAAAATTAAGAAACGAATTTAGCTGCAATTTATGATAAAACAGAAACTTTTATTGTAAAAGTCCTGCTATTAACAAAAGTTAATAAAACGAACTAAATACGTGATGCGAAGAAAACTCTTTGCGTAGTGTATCTTTAAATACGATGCATGGATATCTTTTGATTGAAGAGTCATCGCTTAGGGATCAGAACCGGAAAGGAGTCAGATTTTCTTGATTCGATTTGGGATAGCATTTGTGAAATCTAATTCGGTTCAGTTAGGTTTGACTCAACGTTTCTGATACCAAACTCGGTTCGATTTGATTCGGCAAAAGTTCGAACCGAATGGCGAATTATTCGATTCGTTTCGCGTTCTGTTAGGGATGTTAACTTTTAAAGTATGAAATAAGAACAAAAGAATAGTAATGACGTCGAGCACTAGGGCGAAATTTGTTGTACAACCATGATTGAAACCTTGATTGGAAATGTACATAAAAAGATGAGAAGGAGAAAAAAGCAAATGAGTTATGAGGAAACCTCTAACCGAGAAACAAGAGTGATCAACCTAGGCTTCTCTTTTCAGATACTAAGAAAGTTTAATAGAAGGGTTTAATATTTATCTTTTTAAGCCGAGTTATCGTTGCGATTTCAAAAGTCCGTCTTATATGGACACCAGATAGAAAACGCTAATCTTTCGAAAGCATAGCTGATAAATCATGACCTTGAAATAAAGTAGTTTGAAATAAAGTTAGTTTGGTTCAAATATTCTTATTTTATTAAAATAAAAGTTAGATAGAATAATTTTCTTCACAGCAATTATATACTGTAATTATTTATGATTAATTTCTACTGCTCTCGATCAGGGTTATCTACTATTTATACGTATAACATGTTTGCAAAGATATTAAACTTTAGATTTCGTCATCAACCAAATTTATATAACCGAAAATTTGTCTGAAAAGATTTTAATATCGGTTCTACGTCGATCTCGTTTGTATATCACCATATCTTATATAACATTGAAATGTTTTCAAATTTGTTAACCTTCGTAGCACATCTCTCTGCTGTTTGTTGGAATAATAACTAGCAGCTCAAGTATAGTACCTGAAACATTTAATATTTTGAAATTATAGTAAAAAAGAATTCTTTAAATGTTTTATCGAATGCTCGATTGCACCAATGATTTATTTGAAAATGTACTAATGGTGGAAAAAATATTGACGGTTGATCTATTTAGTGTTGATAGGCTCCTTAATATTAAATATATATCGTTCAATTTAATTTAATATTTAAATTTTCCACAGCTGATGTTGACGATATCAGTTTAAAATCAGTACTACAGTCACTTTATAATGTAGATTGTTAAAATTTTAGAGAATATTTGTTCGAAAATATCATGATCCAAACGATACGTGTGAATATGTAACGCTGACAAATATTTTAGATTACATAATGATGTAGTAAGTGTGTTTTTTACTCAGCCTGTAAAATGTAATATTCCACTCAAGTCCCACCGGAATTCAGGGAAAGCGACAGCAAAAATAGCAATAAAAAAGCTATAAGTCGGGAGAATATCCTACCTTTTCGAGAACTTTTCTAGCTTTCATAGTTCTCTAGATCACGAGGTGCATATTTTGCCGAAAAAGGAGACGAAAGAAAGAAAGAAAGAAAGGAAGAAAATAATAAAACAAAAGTCCGACATAAAAGCATAATGTTTGTCGACATAACTAGAGAGCAATTGCGTTGTGCACTAGTTGCGAAGTCGACAGACTCGTCCTGAGACTGCCAGAAGCCAAAAGATAATAGAAAATAACAATTTAGTTCTACTTGTGTAGCTTATGGCGCCGAATCTGTACCTTTATTTGGGAGAAAACTGTGCATTGATCAATCTCCAATGTCGGAAGATTATCCTCCCGTTTTCGGAGGTGGTGATTCCACCACAAATCTCGCAACATATACGTTTGATCTGAGAACTGTCCGATATAGTTGATAATAATTTATTTTTCAAATAAGAAATATGAAGAGACGAATTAACCATATTCGATAATTCACTGTCAATTGTTGATCTTGCACGAGTGATTGTGTTTGAGTGTGAGGAAGAATTGGAAAATGTAGTATTTGTGAATGGTATTCCAAGACCTTCGTGGTAGCTAAAATAATTTGGTATAAAAACTGTTAAAAAAGTATTTTCATCGGCAAAATTCACATAGCATCTATCTATGCTAGTGAGTTCGGTAGTTGTTGACAGGGGGCATCCAGGCGGACATTTGGCGAAAAAACGAAAGTACCCTTTTCCAAGATCTAACATCCATGAGATACAAGGCCATATCATCATCACTGTCTGGTGATATTCTTGATAACTGAGTATAACCACGACCTGATCCAGAGGGTGTTTCAGTATAACAAACTAAATCATTCACAACAGCACCTTGTACTTTATCGACGGTAGCATCCAGGCAAGTTTAATTGAGAATTGTTGTCCAAGGTATAGACTTCCACCTGACTTCTGCATCAACGCCTAGTTCTAATGTTTCAAGTGTAATATGATCAAATTTAGCAAAATGCTTTTTGACTGGCAGTATTGTTATTTTTGTATTGTTTTTCTGTATTGTATTGTTATTTCTTTAAGCATTTACTTGATCATTTCTCGCAAAGCTATGTAATGTTTGTCGATCATAATCACTTCTTAAATATCTTTGGTGGCAATGAACGTTGATCGATAGCTGGACGTTGATAAAAGTCACCCACTGCAATTACACCGATGTCACCGAAAATGGATGAGTGTGAAGTGACTCCTTTAATGCCTTGCCATCGACGATTAACAGTAGATCATATATTATAATTCATAAGCGAAATTTCATCATCAAATTTTAATTTTATACTTCCAACTTTAGTTCGATAACTGGTCAATTTATCTGATGATAAACGTTCATAATTCTTCTTTAGTTGTTTATCTAAACCAAGTGTACTATGATGTGTAAAACCACGAATTCGAAATGCACATGTTCCTGTACATGCATTATTAATCATATGTACATCTCCCTCAAAATCTAAACAAGGTTTCGACATTTTACATTTTCATCGTTTTGTTCTTTCGTTTTACTTTCGGTGTTTTGAGCTTTCGACCAAAGGCATACATTCCGTATATAAATGACCTATTATTTGCACAAGAGAACTCCAAATGCGAGATGTGCCAATCAACATAATGAAGGATTATAAGAGCTGTCCAATTATCGTTATCTAGATAATACGTATATCACGATGCGTGTTCTTTACGATGCGATAATCTAACTCACAGCATACATTTAGAGTAAAATTTAAACGAATAAGAATTCAAGTAAATCCGGCACACAAGATAATAAGAATGTGAGGATTTAAAGGAATAAGAATGTAAGAAAATAAGTATTAAAGGAAATATTGGAAATAAGAAAATGAGGATGAGATCATGGAAAATTCGCATTCGCGGAGAACTGAGTTATTCTTTACCATTTTGGTATCCAACATCTCTTCATACTGGCTATAGCCAGTATAGATAGACCCACAATGTTTATTTTTTTCTTTCACTAGTTCAACTCAGAATCGATTGCGAATTCTCTGTTATTTTCTGGCTACTATCCGTTACAATATACAACGTACGCGGTTGTTTTAGAATAACTTTTGTTAGAAAAGAGACAATAACCTGCGGTTTTCAGCATTATATAGTCGCGGCTTTGAAACATGCTTTTGTAAGCAAAAACTAGTTTTGAAAAAATTTCAAAGACCGGTCATTTTGCACTTCGTCATTTTTGTTTTTCTACATTTCACGTTTTCTACATTCCGCTTTTCGATCTTATCCATTCTGCGTTTTCACTTTCGATGTTTTCAGTTGTTGAGATTCGGCCATACATTCTTTATGTACAGCTCTTAAAGTTAATAAGTAGTCATCATACGTCATCTCATTTTCAGTTAATAATCAACCAAAATCATCCCATGTTAATATTCTTACATGTTCTAGATCATACTTTGCAGCATTTATCTTTGCTGATTTTTCTTTCAGATATCCAGTTTTTTTAACAAATCTTCGTCTGTTCTAACTAAAGGTTCACAAATCCAGGTAGAAACGCATAACAGCTTTTGGAAATAAAAATCTACATAATACATCAATATATTTTGTTTTGTTGCGCTCTTTGATAGACAGTTTCGAAATATGTTTTGTATGCGTTCTGCGTTTTTCTATACATGACCTTGAATGATTTTTTTGTTAAAATGACTTTGCACTCTCTTTATTAACCAATGCATTTATGAGTCTTCTTCTTTTGTAGGAAAATGTGTTGCTATGTATCTGTCGCACATCAGGCTGTGATCCATAACAGCGAGGAGTGTTTTTAATTCAAAGAGACATATGTGAATGCAATGACCCTCCCAAGTCCACTTTCTTATCGCATGTCGAGTTTCTTTAAAAATTCACGACAGGATCGCGTAACGCGTTCGCCATAAGGCTCGCGAAATAAGATGGGATTTTTAGCGATCGCTATTTTTTTTGCGCTCATACGCAAATTGACGACTCTCAAGTATCTTACTTCTTCAACTCTCTTCGTCTCTTATATTCTCTCAATACATTTATGTATTTGCGTAATGTGATATATATGTTCTCCACTCTGTTGGCTATACTGTGCGATCTCTAAATACATCTTTATTATAAGTTACAATGTAATGTTTTCTCTTTTCTTTTTTCCTTTTGTTACCTATACATCCAGTCCATTGCGTTGTATGAAGTTTTCTTTTTCCGCATAATGATATTTTTCTCTTTCTGTAAGACCCATGTGAAAATACTGGCTTTAACATCTCAAGAAAAACTTGTGAAAAGTTTGCAAGACGAGGTAGAGGGGTTTTGGTCGCTTTGCTTTCGACGATCTTGGCCCACAGACGTTTAGGTCTGAAACGGCTTTCAGGCCATTTTCTGATTCAGTTTTCAAAGCTGAGCAAGAATATGGCAGTTTGAACAGTCCAAGTTGGCACGAAACTTGGGAAACTCAAATTTATAAAAAAAATGGCGAAAAATCGGGTTTTTCACACCCATCGAGTTTTTTCGATTTTTCAAACGGAAGGAAGCCTTTAAAAACTCAAGGAGCACATATTCTTGCTCGCCGTGAAATTCTCTATCGAATGATACATAAGACATCGAAAAATAAAATTTTGCTGTAACCTTGCTTTACGTGCACCATACGTAAATATATATATAATCTTGTATTTTTCACTTATAGAGTGCCCCTTGTACCCAGACGCTATGAGCGTAAGCGGTTCCGCGTTAAATAAATAAATAAATAAATAAAACTTATAGAGTCATTCGTATACAGTCGTTAACAACACGTTTTCAATCATTAATGGTACACAATTTATCCGATCATGTCATACCAAAAGTCCATTTCGTCACCGATTACTCAAGGCTAATTGATATGAACGGACCAGCAACTCACTTTTGGTGTATGCGTTTCGAGGCGAAGCATTAGTATTTCAAACAATTGGCTATTCGATCATGCAACTTCAAAAATCCACCTTTCACTCTGATAAAACGACCTCAACTTCGACAATGTCTGTTGTTGTTAAATAAGAATTATTACAATATATCTGATGAAATAACGTCGAGGAAAACCGTGAAATATTATGAATTATCAATACTCGTTCAACATTTATTGAATGCAAATCATATTGATCAAGCAGCATTTAATGAATGTAAAACAATTGAACATAACCATGTTCGGATAATGACACGATCGGTGTTTGTTGAAAAATTACTCCATGTAGAAGAAGGCCCGTATTTTGTTTACATTCTACATATTTTGAATATACAAAACACTTGGAAAGTAATCCTTGAACATCTACAAATAGTTGCATTCAACGAACAACTTTGGACTGCTATTGATATTTTCTTTTATCGTTTTGTTTAGGTGAAGAAGTGGATAAATATATGTTGATAAAATTGCCATTTGATGAATTACGAGTGTTGCTTCCGAAATTAAAAGATTGAATGAGATTTATTGAAGAACACGATAAATTAATTAAAAATTTGGGTGGTGGTGGACGTGGAGAATCCACATAAAGAAGAATGTTCAGATTCATTTCATGATCAAACAATTGATACATATAATGCACAACAAACAACAACGGCATATAAAGATCTGTTCGATGATATATCAGTACCTATTGACAATACCGTTACTGTCACATCGGAAACGACGTCGGTTAACAATTATCGGGTCAAAGCGGATGAACAAGACGATAATCCCGAAGCATCACAGCAAAAGATGCCACCAGGTTATGAATTTACAACATTACCAGATCAAATACAATCAATCGTCGATGAAAACGATTTAACCAGACTACGGGGACGTACGAATCATCATCGAATGTTGCTCAGTGCTGTATTTAAAGATGTTGTGGATAATTATAGTTTACTGTAAGCACTGTTTGAACGACATTGTGTAGGTTCACAACTGGTTCTGATCCACTTGTATTATTGGTATCATAAAGCAAGTAATTATATTCTTATTACACAAGCATTACTCAAAGCTTTAAAGATTCCAGTCACAGACGTGAATGCAATGGTGAGATACTTCTTTTTTAGCAGTGTATGACGCAATTTGTTTGTTTTAGAATGAATGGCGGGAAGCGATTAAACAAAAGTTCAAAAATAAACGTCGTCTTCTACAAGAAACATCATCAATTGTCAAAATCAAACAAGAAAAATTTAGGAAAGGACATGGGCGTCCTTTGAAGAAAAGTACAGCAAAATCGGCTGAATGTAAAAACGAAAAGTTTGTAAAATTACTTCTGTTTTGAAAAGGCTTCTTGATGTTGAAATACTATGGTTTTTCATTTTAGATTTATGTTGGTGATATTAATAATGAACAAGATATTGAACAGCAGATTACAACAATAGAAGAAGAAGTTGAAAGTGCAATAACAAACATTGATTTATTGAACAGTTTGTAGAAGAAAACATTCAGTTATCGTCGATTATTCATTCGAACACACACAATTGATGAAGTATTACAGAAATTTCCCGACTATACATACCCTTGTCTGGTAAGTCTCTACTCATAGTATTAGCGCATTTCAGGTCTAAATCGATGTTTTTCTCTTTATCTTAGATTTTCGACGAAGTAAAAATGATCAATGACGTTGATACCGAAGAAAATGTAAATGAAAAGATGCCTTCTTTATCTGATGGTTTTGAACTTCCAGATATTTTAAAAAAATCTGATAAATTCTTATCCTAAACCATAAGACTTGGACACAAAAAGTTTTTTTCATTCCCCGTAACTCATTGTGCCTAACATTTATGGAAAGTTTCGTCAAGATCGGATGTACGGTGTCAGAGATAATTTCTGAGGGGAGGAGGACTTAAAGAAAATACAAGAAAAGAGTCTTTAAAGAAAAAAATCTGATAAATTCTTGAAGGAGGCAGTCACATGATTCCTGGAAGAATTAATCAGATTTTTTTCTTTGCAAGATCTTCAAATGAAAAAGCATAGAAAAAGAATCCTTCGAGAATTTATAAGATATAAGATGGAATGTGACAAAAAAACATCCTGCTAAGCGCGTTAGTTTCTACGAAAATTTAAAACGCACTCTAATGCGTTTTTTTTCGCAGAAAAAGTTTGCCTGGGATTGGATATACGACTGTATAGAGTCGTAGATTCTTCCTTAAATAACTATACAAAGAGTACAACATATGGGAGTTCCTCGAGGATCTTCCAGTTTATAGAAAATCGAATTTCCAACAATCTAGAAAATCGTCCTTGATTCCAGTTTGTTAGAAAATCGCCATTGAATTTCCATAAATAATTCTCAAGAAAGTAGAAATTCGTTTTTGAGTTTCTATAAACTGGAAATTCCTTGGCAGATCTGCACCGACTGGCGGCGCGACCAAGTTGTATTGGGGTTGACCCCGCTCATACTTTTGAGAAATTTCTGGTGAACGTCTCCGATTTTCAGACCTTCCTACCGAAACTTAACACTACCACTGTCTCTGCCTAAATCAAAACTCTTGCTAGAATAAGGCAGAATTGTGGGCTAAAGTAGAAACTGTCAAAGTTGATTTAAGTGTAATATGAGTGTCTTTACGTGATGCTCGTGAAGACACTCATATTACACATAAGAAAATTATTTATAGAAAATTCTCAGCGATTCTCCACCTTTATAGAAAATCGAATTTATGGAAATTCAAGTCCATTTTCTATAAAGTGGAGATTAATTCAAGATTACAGTGTAGATAAAGCACATTTTTAGTCTCTACTAATATCCAGCTTCGTATAAGCACATCTGATATGGCAGGCATACATTCATGCTTTTTGTGCTGGAAAAATAACGTTTCTTAGAGACAAATTTTCAACCAGGAATAGTACACTGCTTAGGAGAAGCACTCATATACAGAAGACTTCGATTCATAAACTAGGCCGGCTCAGCGTTCCTTCAACGTGAACGCTTCAACGTATACGCTAAACATGACGTTTTTTGAACGTGAACACGAATGTTCTGGCGAACGTTAACGTTATTTTATATGAACGGTGTTGATCTTGTGTGGAATGAATAGTATTGCAAAACGTTATATAGCAAGTTCACCCAGTAATATACCAAATGAAACAGCTTTCTCCATTATCAGTTATATTTAGTGAAAAATCAACGCTCGTTTGTCCCAAATGCATTACGATAACAAAGGAAAACGTATGTAGTTACTGTAATGGCTTTGACCAAGGAACTTCGGTTCCAATGCCGGAAAAACTAGTCGTCTGGTCAGGAAATCCGCGATCTGCTCTTGGAAGAATCAAGGAGTATCCTATCTACATTGCAATAATCTGGTCACTGCCCTGAGCTGAGATCCTTCACTAGAGTTTCTATTGATCAGATAAGACCCAGCAGAAATTCTTACTACAGTATATATTTATATATTTACTTCAGACGATATGAACCCGTTCGTATAAAAAAACCTCACGTTCACCAGTGTTTTAGCGTTCAGGTTCAAGAAACGAAACGTGAGCTTTTTCAGGCCTAGTAGGTACAGCTATGTGTATATAAGAAGATACATATGTACATATATAAATCCCTTCGTTGCGTACAACTATTCGATATTGCATTCTTCTGTATAGAAAATCAGCTTTTGCGATTTTTATTAACTATAAAGCAAGAGGCGTGTAGATGGGCTAAAACACCCAATATAGAATATCAAAGTACATAAATACTCAATTTCAAAATGATGCATAGTTTATAAACAGCTAACAGCGAACGAGATGACATCATAAGTCTAATAGATTCTAAGCTTATTGTGCCGATGGTGCTAGCAACTGATGTAGATAGCTGTCAGCCAAACAGCCATTAATAAACTCTTCTTTGGATAATTTATTATCAGAATTTGCATCCATTTTCGAAAATATCTGATCTACTTTCGCCTCAGAGCTGTTCGGACCTTTTTTATCTTCACCAAGTAAATCATAAATGGCCTAGAGAAACAACAAGAAATTGTTAAAGTAACAAAACAACAGTC